GTGTGTGTGTGTGTGTGTGTGTGTGTGTGTGTGTGTGTGTGTGTGTGCGTGTGTGCACAAATTATCCAAGGAATGCTCAGACTGAAGATCCAGCTGATGAAAGCTACCTGGAACTTTGTAAATGTTCCCTTTGTCAGACTGCAGAACCAGTGTGCGCTTGTGTGGACCTAAAACTGAAATATTAATTGTAATGTATAATAAATATAATGGAAATAAAATGTTTTAGCTTGGATTTGATCAGGAATGCCACATAATAAATTTATATACTATTTGTTTCAAAGCTGTATGCTCAAGCTAGACCCATACTACTAGTTTAAGTCTTTGAACCCATAGATGGGCTGTCATGTCTTTACTGCAGTCGTGGTCTTGTGTTTATACACAAACACTAAGATAAGTGATCACAATTGAACACAGGTGAGAGGAAGAAATGTAAACATTTATGACAAATACCATCAGTTAGCCAAAATCTGTGTGGTGAAAGTGAGTTTTAAAAGCTTTCTGACAGAGGCTTACAACCAACGACGTTGCAGGTAGCACAGTTAAGTCTTACAGAGTAGAGCTGCTGAATTTTACTGTTTAATGTTGAGGTCATACATGTTGTATGTGCGGCTTGCTTTCATCACATCACATCACAGAGGGTTTAATTATAATAATATTACACTAATGTAACTTGACAGTAATTATATAATATAGTTATGGTCATAATGTTACAATCAACATTTCATATATTAAATTTCAAAAACCCAAATAGTCTAGATTAAGAAGGCCGTTGAATCAATTTAATAAAACAACATAGTTACATACAGATTGCAGTTAGAGTTCTGTTAACTGATCAAGCTTCATAAGCTTTATGTGAAGTCCACCTTTCGACGTGTCACTCAAGGCAGACGAGTGTAGTCTCTTTAATCCAGCTGGTCTTGTTTTCTTCTTTTTGTAGGATTGATGTTACAGTAACATCAGAATATTACTAAACATGTAGATGACGAACTTTTCAAACCTGCGTTTTTTTCTTTTGGTCATTTACGCCTCTCTTGAAGCTTCGTATTGGTGGCACTAATGTAGTAAATGAAGATACTTCATCATTTTTGTAGACTGTGGTTAGATGTAATGTATAATATATAACAGCTATATTATTCATTTTCTAACTCAACTGTCTGGATTTATTAACTTGAGCTAACACCAGGTATAGCTTTAAAAAGATCCATGTTTAATAACTTAGAGACTTAGAGCTTTTTATTGTCATTGTGCAGTTTCTTGCACAGCGAAATTGGGTAGCTGAACCACAAAGGTGCAAAAGTAAGAAGAGAAAACAATCTACAACAGGGGAAAAAATAAAATAAAATAAAAAGCAATATATATGTATACATATATGTGAGTGAAACTATATACATGGTGTATGCGTAATAACGTCATCCGCGTTATGGAAATAAAAATGAAATATCAGAAAAGTAGGCCAGAAAAGTTGTGTTCCGTTAGGACAAGCAAGGCGAGCAGTGCTTGCCTCGTCAGATCTGAAAATATACATGTCCCAAAGTAAAGCAATCTATCCTTTGATCTCAGACATCGCTGTCATATGTGGATCCAGGCCTTACCTTACTGCCATCTTGTGACCGCAGTTGGGTAATGTCGCTGTGATTATTTCAATTTCATGGCATAGTGTACTCCTCTGTGCCTGTGAGGGTGTGTCTGTCTTCTGTTAACAGCGATGGAGCTGGGCGAGCTGAGAGGCCAGCAGCCTTTTCCTGGTGGTTTGTGCATACACATTGTGACTGTAAACTGATGAGAGACCAGCGAGCCAC